CTTGATCTGGTCGATTATAGCAGGCTTCTCACAAAACTATGTCATGCTTATCGTATGTCGAGCGCTGCAGGGTTTCGGTCCTGCAGCCTTCCTGCCTAGCGGAATCATGCTGCTGGGTTCTATCTACCGTCCTGGGCCGCGCAAGAACCTTGTCTTCAGCTTATACGGTGCCTTTGCGCCGGTGGGCTTCTTTACTGGTATCTTTTTCGCTGGTGTCGCCGCTCAGTTTATGAGTTGGGGCTGGTTCTTCTGGATAGGATCGATCATCCTCGCTATTGTGGCCGTTGCGTCGTACCTTTGCATTCCCAACCCGAGAGAAGAGAAAGAGAAGGCGAAACAGGAAGGAAAGGGGGTGAAGATGGATTGGTGGGGCACAGCGACTGTAGTGCCAGGTTTGGTCCTAGTGGTCTTTGCACTCACGGATGGAAGCCATGCACCACAAGGTTGGGCGACACCTTATATACCCGTCACCTTCGTAATCGGTTGGATCTTCCTGGGTTTATTCGTTTACATCGAAGGCTGGGTCGCTGAACAGCCTCTCCTACCCCCTGATCTATTCCGTGTCAAGGGTATGAAGCCACTCGCCCTTGCGCTGTTCTTCCAGTACGGCACCTTCGGCATCTTCATCTTCTATGCGAGCTTCTATATCGAACAGGTCGCCGGCGCCAGTCCTCTACTTACCGCCGCATGGTTCACACCTATGTGCGTTGGTGGACTGATCTTGGCGACCGTTGGCGGCTTGATTCTGCACCTCCTACCAGGCCGTATCCTCCTTCTCATTAGCGGTACCGCGTACATCCTATCGACACTTCTATTCGCCATTCTCCCTGTTGACTTCAATTACTGGGCTTACATCTTCCCCGCTATGATCTGCGCCACACTCGGTATCGACATCACCTACAACGTCGCCAACATCTTCATCACAACGTCGCTACCAAAAGCGCGTCAAGGGCTAGCGGGATCGTTCATGAACTCGCTGTTGTTCTTGGGTATCGCGGTGTTCCTCTCGTTTGCAGACCTCGCAGTTAGCGAAACGGAGGAGAGGGGGCGAAGGGGGAGTTACAAGGTAGCTTTTTGGCTTGCGACTGCGCTTGCTGGCGCAGGCTTGATCATCATGTTCTTGGGCGTTAAGATTGGAAAAGCGAAAAGTGATCTGACTCTTGATGAGAGGCAAGAGCTGGAGAGTGAGTTGGTGAGAAGGAACACGAATGAGTAATCAATCTTGTGGATTTCTATCGCCACTACTGCAGCGCTGGAAACTACAGTCGACATCGTCGCGCAGATGCTGAAGTCCATCGCCACGATACCCGTCAACGACCCATCTCCTCTTCACCTGGCGCAGCGGTCTTGTACGCCTTACGATAGATCGATGACGCCATCACACGCGGAAGTCCTTCGCTCACGGCAGTATCGTCACGTACAAGGCGGTTTCGCACTTCATGCACGTTCCCGCCACTCGGTATACCGCGCTTTCGGCAGAGCGCTGCTGCCCTGTAGTAATCGAGATCGGTGTAGTCTGAGTTACCGTGTAGAGGCTGTAGTGGTACAACGGTGCGAGCTTGCATTGATCGCTGGGTCGACAATCGTGGAGGGGATATGGAGATCAAGATCGCTCGGTTGGGTGCAATCCCAGAATGCAGATCGGGCTCTGTTCGGCTTGGGCGTTTGCGCGTGGGGCTGCTAAAGGGTGTCGCTGTAGACGGGGCGTCAGAGGGTAGGAGATCCGGAGTGTATCGGAATTGCGCTATTCGTTGCTTGAACGATGGTGGGGTTGCAGTTGGCAGAGTTTCTCTGATGGGTGATATCGCGAAGTGCTTCGAAGCGTTGGCTACAAATGCTTGTGTGTTTCCCTTCTGGTGATGATCGGTACGGCGTCCGTGTCCTGTGATTGTGGGAGATGCAGAACTGTCGGATGAACTGTCATCTATCTCGCTAGTATCGCCCATGTGTTCACCCCCTCGTGTAGCTAGACCGCGGTTTCCGTACGCTCCTGGTATCTCAGAATGTGGGTGGGTACCTTGAGTGTGCGGCAGGAAGTCTCTGTCGTCATCATCGACCTGATGTCCAGTTGGGTGACCCCAGAGATCGATGCGTCCCGCCTGATAGTCTTCCAAAACCATATCTTGTTCCTCGTCTCTGATTCTCCGGTGTTTCAGAGCAGTCTGCATAGCTGGCATCTCGTCGGCGTCCTCTCCCGTGTAGTCTGGATGGGTTGCGAGATAGTCTGTTGTGTACCTAACGCTGTGTACGTCTGACTTGTGGTTGGCTTTCGACAGCTCCGCGACCATGTGCTCGTCGATCACGCCGGCGTTCCATAGGTGGTGAGCATGTGCGGATAGCATAGCTTTCTCAGTCGCTGCGTGGCTGTCACCATAGACAGAGCGACTTGGCTCGACCGGCGCGTCTGGCGCGGCTTCCAATGTCGGCTTGAGCTTCTTCTTAGGCGGCATTGTTCTAGGGCGTGATAAAGCGAAGGCTGATCCCGATCCGAGTGTGCGTGTGGCCTGGCTTGCTGTGTCCGTAATGATGAATTGGCGGTAAGCGACGTGACTTCGGGAGACAAACAGGAATGCTGCATGTAGAAAGGGAGCAATAAAATGACGTAGCGGGACAAGACTTGTGCAGAAGTGAAAGGGTCGCGTCCACGAAGTTCCAAAGTTGTTTGAGCAACATGTTAGACACAATAACAATGGAGAATCACTCTGTCCACACTGCATGACGACATGTTTATGTGTATTCAAAATGCTCGGCTAAGCTTCACTGATGCCGAAATCGTCGTTCAATAGTGGGTGTGGTGGATAGTGCAATATGCGCTGCTAGTGTTCATGGCTTCAACATTTGAATCTACACGGCCCCCAGGATCGCTGAACATATCACCGAGTTAGTAAGTATGCGTACAAATTTCGGGCGGCCATAGCTACGAAGAGGCGAGTGTACACGGGGTGTAGTAATAGTGCTGATTAGGATGAGGCGACTGTCGAACGAAAAACAGGCCGACTTTCGTCGACGCGACTGACGCTTGCCTTATTGAGCCCAAGTTGAACGCGTCGCGTTCGCCAACCCGAGGCTCCAAATGCCTTGGGTCTTGCCAATTCCCTTTGCCTCTCTTGACCTCGCATTTATTCGGGTCATGTCGCGTACAGAGAGGCCGCATTCGGAACGGCGAGCAACAGGGTATTTGATTCACTCCAAAAAATTGCCTCCAGTCTTGGCAAGTATCTCGTCGTAGTAGCTTTGGAATGCCAGCCATCCCTTCTCAGGCGTCCCAACCTGCTTATATGTCTCGGCAGCCTCGCTGTCCGGTATGATCTTGGGCTTGTGTCCACTTCCAGCGGCCGCTGCATCTACAAGGAGTTGTGCTTGACACGTCTTGTCGAGGGAGAGGAACCAGAAGGCTGCTTCGTCGACGGACTTGCCCACGGTGAGGATGCCGTGGTTTTGGAGGATAGCTGCTTTGCCGTCACCTGTGCAAGTGATCAGTAGCGTAAAGCATGAATGTAGACAGGGTCATACCTAAGGCATCCGCAATCCTCTCGCCCTCTTCGCTGGCCAGCACGACTCCGCCAAACTGGTTGTATACGCCGTGGCTCTTGTAAAAGCGGATGCTGTCCTGGGTGATCATGTCCAGTTCCCTACCAAAGGCGCTAAAGGCCTTGCCATGTACGCTATGCGCATGACAGGCTGCATGTACGTCTGGCCGTCGCCTGTGTATGGCGCTGTGAATGGCAAAAGCCGCCGCGTTGATGGGTTGGTCGCCGTGCACCACCTCGCCTTCCTCGTTTACCAGTATCAGATCCGACACGCGTATCAGGGAGAAATGCGCCGACAATGGGTTGAGCCAGAAATGGTCGGTGAGTATTGGGTCGCGCACGCTGATATGGCCGGCGACACCTTCGTCGAACCCACGCGATGCAAAGATGCGATAGGCAGCCGCGAGATGCTGTTTACGGTAGAGGCGTTCGTCTTCGAGGCGTTCAAAGGCTGGGTATTTGCGGACTTTGAGGGCCTTGCCCGACTTGGTCCGGCCCATAGCTGCTACTGTCTGGTTGTCATTGCTTTCGGCGTGATCGACCCGCGTGCCTGCCGCAACGGACGCGTGCAGGTCCTTGGACGATGTTGTGAGCGCCCGAGTAATACGTCGTGGATAGAGCCATTGGGGGCGCCGTGTGAATGACCCTGCGACCCGCACAAGTGACGAAGGAAGAAGACGAGCTGTAGACATGGTCAGTGCAGTAGGTTAGCAATCTATGCAGTAGAAGAGTACAACGACTTCCCCGCCGGGTATGACATGAGGCATAGTTCGCTGCGCATCCCTGGGAGTCACTGGACGCGATTGGTGAGCTTCGCAAGAGAGGAGAAGATGGGCATCGGAGGTTAGGCCGAGGCTTGATGGGAGATGACATAAGCGGAACTCGCCCAACACTCGCTGACTCTCCAACACCAGAGCATTGTCGACTCTCGACTACCTCGATAGACTGACATTGCTGAAGTCGCCTCACAGCCATCTTTGCGTTTATCTCTTGCAAACAATACGCATTCTTCCGGATGGCACTGGAGAAGAATATGGACGCGACAAAGTGCAAAGCGCCTGTCCATCGGAATGCCACCAAATGACATAGAGGATGACCGCGGAGACAACTGTTGTTTCTGTCACCGACCTGTTGTCTCCCATCTATAATGTCTCACTAATTGGATTATATGAAGTCTAGGTTTGTCAGGCTGTTATGAGATGAGCGTAGTAAACCCTTCTGCGCCTGCCCTTTCACTCCCAGTCGCGGCCGCGCCTATCGCACAACAACACGCTACTGCTCTACTCCTTCCCTTCTCACCCGCTCACTCACCGCGCCAATTCCCTCGCCTCCAGGCAGCTGGGCCCACTTCCATGTCAGACTGGCGCCTGCGCACTATATCATTTCGCCTGCCCCTGCCCTCATCAACGCCCTGCCACGCTTCCACCTCCAACAGCAACCCGAGAATCAGCGCAATCAACCACGGCCAACATGAGGTGCACCTTCTCCCTCTTCTGCGCCTTCCTTGCGCTTCTCGCGCTTTCTCTCGCAGCCCCGGACGCCATCGACACCGACAGCCTAGGTGAGTGAGAAACCAGTCGATAAGCCCGCAATCGCTCTACTGACGTTGAAGAGCAGTCTCCTCCTCCGTTCAAGGAATTCCCCCAGGACCATCGATTGTCGGTACTTCTCCCGCCCCAGCTAGTTCCCAGGTATCATCAGAAGATACCCCGTCCGAAAACGATTTGCTCGCAGAGCTCCACGGCCTCACTAGCACCAACACAACGTTGTCGACTGCCAGCTCCGATGATAACGATGTCACGATCGCCTCCAGCAAGTGGTCCAATCTCAAAGACTGGTATCGAGTTGATGTTCGTTTCGGCGACCAGACAGTAGGAGGCACCCACTCTGGAACCTTCCAACTGGAACGGATGTATGAACGCGTCTACTCAACCCTCAAAAAGTGTAAAAAAGGGTCTACCCTAGACGATTGTTCTATCCGCAACACAGTTTTCAAAGACGGCGACAATGGTTACCGAACAGACTCGTCGATCATTCTCGAGATTGAGCACGAGTACTTCAATCCGGATGTACCAAATCTCCAAGATTTGGGAGTAAGCGCTACCGTACTCTAATTGGTCATATTCAAGCGCTAACACATGTATAGTACCGTATGATGGCTAGATTGTACCAGAAGATGACCGCAGTTCCCGAAAACTGCTTCCTAGTCTCGAACGACGGGAAGGGTCCCTTTAAAGACCATGAGGGTGGTGACAGAGACTTGTACTTTTGCACCATTCCAGCCAGGGCGCTCATCGCCTACCCAATCAACGGAGGTCCAGTTCAGATGGTTTTCAAAGTCAAACTGGAATGGGATCACAAGACAGACAACAAAAAATACAACTGCCGACATTTTACGGACGACGGCGTTGCAGAGTACGGAAGCGTACCGTTTCGCAACGGTTTCAATGAAGAAATCGCCAAAATGCACGGATGGAGAGCAGACCGAGTCGCCACCTGGGTCGACTGTTCCATCAAAGAATGCCTCGAAACTAATGCGAAGCGTGACGGCAAGGAATGGCAGGAGGAATACAAAGATACGTGCTTCCCGCGATGGGAACCGAGAGGGTGCGGCACATGGGATGAGGGTCCCAAGCCTGAATACCACTGTCCTCCCGAATACCAAGGGTCATTTGATTGATTGACCAAGGGTCATTTTAACTTGTTTTCAGATGTCGAGGTCTGGTTGGGCAGCCAAAGGCAGTGGTAATAGTGCCCTCACTATGGTGTAGTTTCAGACAACCAAAAGCAGTAATGAGAATCTCGTTTGCATCAATATTGGTCAGTTCAGGATGCCTCAGGAGTGAATTCTGCCTTACAATTATCAGCTCTACGGGGCAGCCAAATATTGAACAAGCAGAACTTCTGAGACCACGTCGTGGTGTTCATGATTGGTGACTGGTGTTATCTGATTTAGTTGATAAATCAATTGTTTCGATAGCAAGGCTATACTGCCTAGTCACCTCCCAACACAAGCAAACTCTGCACATCCACCATACCGTGTCCACGATCGTACAATAGTTTACGCCCACAATGAAGTGGAAACTCCGCAACGACCATGACTGCGATACTCTTTACACCAGCCTTTTTCAGTAGATGTAGCACCGCACAAAGAGTCTCGCCTGTCGACAGTACATCATCCACGACTACGACCGAGTCAGAGCCGATAATCGCGTTTCGCTCTATCTCGATGCGCTTTCCAATCTTTGCTTGGTTAGGAGCTTGGGAAGAGATATACGATGCGTTCTTCATGACCGAAATGGTAGGTGGCGGAAGCTTGCCAGCCTCGCGAATGGGCACCAGAGGCACGTCTACCAGCGATGCTAATGCCGGTGCAAAGACGAGACCGCCCACCTCGCAACAGACAATGGCATCGACGTTGGCCCAGCATCCAGTGAAGTGACTTTGTAGTAGTGATGCGCAAAGAGCAAGGCCGCCTGGCAGCTGCGAGATTCCGAGTACATGTCGGAACCGGATGCCCGGCTTGGGGAAGTTCGGGATTGAGCGTACCATATCGGCCAGTCGTTGTAGGTCATTATGCAAGAAGGGAAGTATGGAGGCCTCGGCAAACTCTCGTACCGCGCCGTTTCCTGGTGTGTCGTTGACGAAGGTCGGATTTGGACGATGTCGCGGAGCTGCAGAGTCAGTCGTCTTCTCGGTGCGTACCCCCCGAGCAACCCGTGAGGCTTCGCTGGTATCAACATGGACTTCGATCACTCTGCTCGCCGCCACTAGATGGGAGAATGATGCGACAGGTGCCTCATCCCTCATCCCCGTGATGAACAAAACATCGACATCCGCGCCTGCCGCATTGTGGACAACTTCAAGAAAGTGTTCTTCCGGTAGTCGGGGTCGTTCCTGGATTTGTTTCTCGTAGAAGGCTGTCAGCGCTGAACGGTGTTGCTCCTTATATGCCCGATCGTCTAGAAGGCGGCGGAAGTCGTTACCAGTCGCGTCGGCGAACTCGCGTTTCGTGACGTCGCTGATGCCTACAGCTTGCGCGCGACGACCATGCGTTGAAGAAGAAGGGTTACCGTCAAGTTCAGAGAACACGGCGACCCATTCGCCGGCGCAGTAGTCCTTGCCGGCGCCGTGTTCGCCGGTAACAAGAATGATGAGTTTGGGCAACGGGGGCTTCGGCAACGGACAAGCCCACGCCAACACGTTCCGTGGATCCATCAGGCGTTTGAGACGACCGAGGCGCACGGTATTCGGCCCGAACGCCTTCTCCGCCAGCACTGCATCTCGGGGATCAGGTCCAAGGTCCGCTCCGTACGTGCCCCTGCTTAACGGCAGCAAGCTATCGACTACGTCGTACACCCATTGCACCGAAGCATGCGCAACGCGACTGCCATCCTCATCCCGAGGCCACACCCCGGTGATGACGCAAGCAAAGTCCCAGTCTCGGCAACCAAACGCAGTCGCTTCGGGTGTGACCTTGCCAGCCTTCCCGCCGCCATGCAGCAGATGGAGGTAACAGAGCGGCGACGGACGAGAATCGACCGCTGAGACTAGGCGACGAGCGATTATCGACCTTCCAATGTCCTTGAGAAATACGCAACGCTTGAAATATGACGTCTTGCCGTTGCCATGCCCCCCATGCATCGCAGACATGTACATCTCGGCTTCGAACGCTTTTACACCATTTAAGATCTTGGTGTCGCTAGCGGTTCCCCATATATCGCCTCTGCGCTTTGACGTGATAGTCGTCGGCGATGGGGAAGATGCATCGATCGCGGCAAAGGTTGTGATCCCAAGGTTGAGCCGTTCATCCTCCCAATACAGGTATGCGTCGGCGGAACAGGACTCGCTGCATCCTTTTGCGACTATCTCGTCGAACTCCCGAAGTTTGCGTTCGGCATCGGCATCGTCGCTCAGAGGGAGTACCCAGTTTCGCGTAAAAAACGTGCGGGCGGGATGGGCCTTGAATGTTACGCTGAGTACGATCCCAAAGTTCGTGCCGACACCTTTCAGTGCCCAAAGGATGTCAGTATCGTTCTCTGGACGACAAGCCTCCTTTGGAAGGTATTTGCTTGGCACATGGCCGACACAGAAGATCTTTTCGGAAGCCACACTGATGAGTACGGCGCCGACAATGTTGTCGCAGGTGAGCCCGTACGGCCTTGTGAGATGGCCTATACCACCCTGTAGCCAGAGTCCGGCTCCAACACTTGGACGAGATCCTAGAGGTACAGTAAGGCCCTCAGCGAGAGTCTTGCTGATGATTGTGTCTGTCTTGCATCCAGCCCCAGCGACTACAAGTGAAGTGAAGGCAACGTCTTGGTCCTCTTCATACCCAACCTTTTTGAGTACATGTACGGAATCGAAAGCACTCATGTCGATTGCCACCACATTGGATCTGTGGCAATGTGCGCTGTGTCCTCCACCGACAACAGACAGGCCAAGGCCATGCTTGAGTGCCCACTGAACGCAATGTTGCACCTTCTCAATAGTATCTGGCCTCACGATAGCGGCGGGGCGTTGTAGATGAGCTTGCTGGTTCTTCACCGGGTTCTCTTCTGGCATCGGACCCACACGCATCTCCAGTTCCTCCACTTTGTCTGCGTGGTGATTGAAAGCCAACATGACTTCAGGTGCGGAGAATAGAAGGGTTTCGGGATGGCTGTCATCACGGCGGGCAAGATCACGACATAGCTTTCGCCAGTTTGCTAGAACAGCGTTGTCTTCGTCGGTGTCTCGCATGGTGAAGCCAGCGACGAAAGATGCGAATACATCCACAGCGTCGTCGTTATCTGCTACGCCGACGACTCCGGTGGGATAGGAAGCCGAATAGTGGCAGGCCAAGCCGTCGATGTGAAAGATACCCTCACGACGGAAGACTGCGACGATTCCACCCTCGAGGAGCATTTTCAACGCATGCTTGATGAAATGGTCTTGCGGCTTCATACCGTACATGCTGTGACAAAAGAGAACGATGTCGTACTTCTCGATGTCGGCACCACTCGGCATGTCACAGTCCGGATCGAAACGAGTACGGTAGATGACAGGATTCTTCTCCAAGCAAGGAAACGGAGCTTTTGAGGTCGTACCCGTCTTCTCATGGCCCTGTAGCCAGTTTTCCAGCTTCGAAGCAAACAAGACGTTGGGCTCAAAAGCGTTGTACTTTCCAATCCTCTTCCGCAGGCTTCTATGTAGATGCGCGAGAATGCTCTTTGGGCCCGGACCGATCTCCAGAACTGATAACAACTTGTTTGATTGGTGTGCAGGAGCTAGGAGGTAGGATAGTTCTGGGATGATGAAGTTGTGGTGGATCGCCCACCCGGGTCCTTGGACGAAGGCTTCGAAGCCTGCTGCATATTGTTCGTCGGTCAAGGGCTCCCTGGAAGAGGTGGCGGAGGGTTTGATGTTGGTGCTTTGCACTAAGGCTTTCTTGAGATAGTCGAGCGTGGCCATGATAACTGGCGGCGACGCACGAGTACGCTGAGGATCTTTGCAATGACAGTATTGATACCAGCTTGAGCTGAGTTGGAACGAGAGCGCTACTCGATCAGCTGGGGAGCGGATGGGGTTTGTGCGGACCGCATTGTTTGCCGTCACAGCGGTCGCAGCGGTAATACACATGTCTGCTCTGCCTTGATGCACATATCCGCCCGTCGGAGGTAGGCGACATCGGTAGTGCACGTCTGCTATATGCAGAAAGATGTTTGATTACCTTGGATACTGTAATACGTGTGGATCGGACGCATTACTGCATTTTGTTATTCGATACCCGATAGAAAGAGGTGAACGTGTCTTTCGCGAGGAATATCACAGATCGCGATCTATCCAATTTTGCCCTCTGAGGGTTACATAGAACATCAGCAAATGTTTCAACTTGAAGAGTGCCGAGCCCAACAACGTTGCGCTCAAGATCTCGAGATGTACAAACCCCATGACCGTGCAATTGGCCGTGTAGTATGCTTTGTGCTACGAACAAGGGGTTGCTCGTGATATTGCATAGCTCGAATCCAAAGATTGTTGTTCGATTTTAGCAGCGATGAAGACTGATAGCGAGAGCTCTCTTAGGCCTCCATCATAGGCAAAAATGCAGAGCCCTCATTCCTGGAGCATCATGTCAGTCACTGACATGAGGCAAAAATTGCTCCACAACCTTAAGCATACACTGACAGCATCGTGATCAGCATCTCCTAGAGATAAGGGGTCTCCAAAAAAAAAGGGGGCGGCTTCGAAAGGTGTAGTACACCAAAGGTTTTAGACCCAAAGGATCTACTCCAAATATTTTAGATCACAAGGATCTATTCCAAAGCTTTGACCAAAGGGCCAATACCAAAGCGGTAGGTGTTGAAGGGGGGGCATACCAAAGGTTCAACCCTTGAGCTCTCAACACCAAACCGGTAACACCAAACTTGACCTCGAAAGATCAACTCCAAAAGATTTGTACACCGAAGTGACAACACCAAAGCGTCTGCAGACTGATTCATCGGAGGTTTGAACTCCGGACCTTCAGTGTACTAACAGGCTTTTGAGGGCCTTTGTTAGACTGACGTGATAACCAACTACACCAACGAACCGTTCTTGATGAAAGACGGCAAAAAAAGTTGGATTTTGTTAGCCATCAATTTACTTCCAGGAGACAAGCTCAGCCCTCGTAGCAAGCTGTATATACGCTGGCGATACGAT